TTAACAAATAAAACTATCTTTTGAAGTACTCTATTTGATTAAATTTCTTAGAGGTGGGCATATCGGTTTGTTTTAATTTTTAACCAAACTTAATATACCAAATTGAACTAAATCGAATAGAAAACGAACAAAAAATCGAACCATATGTAATTTGGTTTAATTTGGTTTGACTTTGATAGTATTTCTTCTAAACCGTATCAAACCACATTGAATTGAAGTTGAGAAAACCCGCAAAAACTTGAACCAAACTAAAGAAATTCAAAAAAATATTCATAGGTTATTAAAAACAAATCCTAACTGAACCAAACAGAATTAAACAAAAAGTAGTACTTCGTATGATTTGATTTTTTTTGATAATAATTCTTTTTATCCGTTCTAAACTGAAGTACTGAACCGAAACTGATGAAAACCGATATACCTACCCCTAAAATTTCTCATCCCTGCATAGCATGGGCTACGTCTGTAACAGAACTGGAAGTACATAAAGCACAGTCTCGAGAGCAAACTAGTACTTCAATTACATTTTTTAGACAATGGAAATGTTGGTGAAAACATGCTGAACTGCTAAGGTAGGTTTCCATTTGAAAAGCGGAAGCTCTCACTGAGTTATTCCAAAGGACATTACGCATATGTTTAGGGTGTGTGCTTCTGCAAGAAGGGGCCTAAGCCGCTTGTTAGAGCAGATGATGGTGATGTCAGAGCAGCCTTCGGTAAGCTCAAAGCCTGGTGCAGAAAAAAACAGAACTTAGTATGTAAAGCATTTGAATTAATTGAAACAATGAGGGGTTGAGAAGTGGTTAATTTGGCAATCACCTCCTTAGTACCGACAGTGACAGATTGCACCTCGGTCTGGCTCAAGGGAGTGCCTAAACCCTTGAGTAAGAGGAAACTGGAAGCACCAGAAAGAGGCTTCACACCAATATCATCCAGGACCAAGAACACTGATGGTTTCACAGCAAAATAATTGCTCCCCCTCGGATTGATCAGATAATAACTATCAGCAGATGATTCGGGGCTGATAGATATGAGAGGCTGCTTCTTGCAGTTATGATGTTTGGCAATACCTGGGTTGAGTAAGTCTTTCTTAGCCAGCTAACAAAACCATTTGTCATCCAAATACACCACACTCTTGTACAAGTTGTCCATACATGTTAATCCCGATTTGCCTTCCAAAACACTCATCATTGATCCTATTGGAGTGGTTAGAAAGGTGCACAAGAAATCAAAGAACTCATCTGTCGCTTCACCAAACAATATCTCTTTTGAAGACTTGACACAAGTTACTTGTAGCTTCATGGTAGGGCCATTCTGATTTACTGGGACAGCAGCTGGTGAGGATGAAATGTAGGTATCTTCCACCTTCTTTCTTGGAAGTTGCCAAGAGACACCTTAACATGGAGGCACCTTCTTGGAAAGAGCTCTCCAACAAATAGGTGTGGGAGAAGATATGGAGATAACTAGGAAGCTTGGATGCAACTTCCTCATGTCTCCAAACTAGCCCTATAAATAGAGTGTTCCACTGTTGTTCATAATATCAGTTTAGAAAGTGAGAAAAGTGTGTGAAGAGTGAAATACACTTAGTGTAGAAGTGTATTGGTGAGGATTGGTTTTTTGTAATAGTTGAGTGTGAGAGTTTGCTCCTCCTATTGTAATTCTGTTCTTGATATTGGATAGAAGAATTTTCCAATCCCAACAAGTGGTATCAGAGCGAGGTTGAGTTTCCATACACTGTTTTCTCATTTTCAGATAAATTTTGTACAGGTTAGAAAATCGTGATTTTTCAAGTTGCTCGTAATCAGGATCTGATCATACCGTTAGATTCGTCTCGGCCAGACGAGAAATCTGGTATTTTTGGGGATTTTTTTGGCCACCAGAAGAGGCCGTACGCGCCGCCGGAAACTGCCTGCATCATCACTGCGTCATCACGCAGTCCAGAGGAAGAAGACGATCCACGTCAGCTGCCACGGCATCGCCACGTTGGACCACGTCAGCGACACGTGGTGCCGAGTCATCCGCCACGTCATCCACCCGAGCCGTCCGCTGTAAGCCACGTCAGACGCCACGAGGCTACACGTCATCGCCACGTCAGCGAGGGAACAGAGCCACGACATTCGCCTGCTGGGCTGCAGGCTGGGCTGCTGCCTGAACCGGACCGAACCGGTTCGTGCTTTTGGAGGCCGGTTCACCCGTTTCCAGACCAGTTTTGGACGAGGTCAGACCGGTTCTTACCATTTTCGGTCATTCCGGATCCAACGGTGAGCTCCGTTTGTCCAAATTCGGCTTCGAAAATAAGGTACGAGATATATAGAGCGTTTTATTATGGATAAATCATCGTCGGACACCATGATTGCGCTCACATCCACAAACTACAATATGTGGAAGCCTCGGATGGAGGATTTGCTAAATTTGAGGGATTTAGAGGATCCTCTTGATAATAATGGTGTGAAACCGGATAAAAAGACGGATGAAGAATGGACAAAAATGAATCGAAAAACGGTCGCACAAATTCGACAATGGATAGATCATAGTGTGTTCCACCATGTTGCTCAAGAACAAAGTGCTTACACACTATGGGAGAAGCTTGGTAGCATGTATCAAGCAAAAACCGCCCGAAATAAGACGTTACTAATGAGGAGATTAGTAAACCACAAATTACGTGTGGGTATTTCGGTATCAGAACACACCAGTCAATTCCAGGATCTTGTGAATCAGTTGAGCACCACCGGATGGGGTCTCAAAGATGAAGAGCAGGCGATACTACTCTTGAGCTCTCTACCTGACAGCTGGGAGACTCTTGTTGTCACTCTCAGTAATTCTGCTCCAAATGGGAAGGTGACTATGCAGATGGTCACAGATGCCCTGATGAATGAAGAAGCCCGAAGGAAGGAAGCCGGAACGGAACAAACATATGTCCTCATATCAGAAACTAACATACGAGGGGGAGGGAGAAATGCAGGAAGAAGTCGAGGTCGAGGTAGAGGTCAAGGTCAAAGTAGAGGAAATTCTCAAGTTCGCGGAAGATCACAAAAGAGAGGTATGTCCTTTGAAAACAATACTTGGTTCGAAGGATATTGCAATTACTGTAGTAATTATGGACATAGGAAAAGAGATTGTAGAAAGTTTCTACGAGAGAAGCCACAGACGAGTCAAAATACTAGCCAAGAAGATGGTGAGACCATGGTTAGTTTGTCATCAGACGTGTGTCTTGTTACACATGGTGAACAATAATGTTTACACGTAGGCACTCATGATGTTGAGTGGGTGATTGATACAGCCGCATCATTTCACGCCACTCCACACCAGAACTTATTCACAACTTATAAGTCCGGAGACTTTGGAGCTGTGAAGATGGGAAACACCAGTTTCTCGAAGATTGTTGGCATTGGTGATGTGCACATAATAACCAATGTCGGATGCGCACTTGTGTTGAAAGATGTTCGACACGTTCCGGATCTTAGATTGAATCTTATCTCCGGTACAGCTCTGGATCAACAAGGATATCTTAACCGATTCAAAGAAGGTACATGGAAGCTATCTAAAGGTTCCTTGGTTGTTGCAAGAGGCCATATTTGTGGCACTCTTTATAAAACTCATGCAAAGTTGTGTCATCCGAGTCTCAATGCTGTTGAAGAAGAGATATCACCAAACTTGTGGCACCGGAGGTTAGGTCACTTGAGCGTGAAGGGATTGACAACTCTTGCAAAGAAGGAAGTCATTTCCATGGGCAAAGGTGTTGCCCTAGATTCATGCGAGCACTGTCTATTTGGGAAACAACACAAGGTTTCCTTCAGTTCTACCAAGAAGAACCATACAGAGTTACTCAGTCTTGTCGACTCTGATGTATGTGGACCCATTGAAGAGGAATCACTTGGAGGAAGCAGATACTTTGTGACATTCATTGATGATGCATCACGAAAGGTATGGGCCTACTGTTTAAATCGTAAGGATCAAGTGTTTGATCGATTCAAATCATTTCATGCCATGGTAGAAAGAGAAACAGGGAAGAAGCTGAAGTGTCTGCGTTCAGACAATGGAGGAGAGTACACTTCCCGAGAATTCTCAGCATATTGTGCCGCACATGGAATCAGACATGAGAAGATGGTTCCACGAACTCCGCAACACAATGGTGTAGCCGAGAGAATGAATCGGACCATTATGAAGAAAGTTCGTTGCATGTTGAGTCTGGCTAAGCTACCTAAGCCATTTTGGGTGAAGCTGTGCTGACAGCTTGTTATCTTATAAACTTGTCACCTTCTGTTCCTTTAAACTTTGAAGTGCCAGAAAAGAAATGGTCAGGAAGAGATGTTTCTTACTCTCACTTGAAAGTGTTCGGGTGCAAGGCATTTGCACATGTGTCCAAGGAGTTGAGACAGAAGCTTGATCTCAAGTCAAACCCCTGTATCTTCATCGGCTATGGAGATGAAGAATTCAGATACCGGTTGTGGGATCCCGAAGTGAAGAAAGTTATTCGAAGCAGAGATGTTGTATTTCATGAAAACGAGTTTCATGGGTGTGCTCCAATAATCCGCCAACAACATACTCCAGAAGACGAAGTGCCTGTATTATCAAACATTCCTCTCAACGACGAGGAGATGCATGATTCTACTGAACACGAGAGTGATGGTTCAGCAGGTGATGATGATACTCACAGTGATGATATTCCTCAGCAGGGGGAGCCTTCATCTGAAGACGAATATGAAGGTATTCATGTTCGACGTTCTATGCGAGGCATAGTTCCACAAAGAAAATACTCCACATCCGAATGGATACTTGTTGCCAGCGAGGGGGAGCCAGCGAGCACCGCAGGAACGAGAGAAATAAAGAAAAAGGTGGAGGGGGAGATTTGTAGGTATCTTCCACCTTCTTTCTTGGAAGTTGCCAAGAGACACCTTAACATGGAGGCACCTTCTTGGAAAGAGCTCTCCAACAAATAGGTGTGGGAGAAGATATGAAGATAACTAGGAAGCTTGGATGCAACTTCCTCATATCTCCAAACTAGCCTTATAAATAGAGTGCTCCATTGTTGTTCATAATATCAGTTTAGAAAGTGAGAAAAGTGTGTGAAGAGTGAAATACACTTAGTGTAGAAGTGTATTGGTGAGGATTGGTTTTTTGTAATAGTTGAGTGTGAGAGTTTGCCCCTCCTATTGTAATTCTGTTCTTGATATTGGATAGAAGAATTTTCCAATCCCAACATGTAAAAGCAGTTCCAAGTTTCAGCTGCTTCGTTTGGATTCCCGCTATGCCGGATCCCGCTTGCCGTTCTGCCAGAAAGATGTCACTTAAGGGAGACTCCTAAACCAGAGCGCATGCTATGAGACGGATTACCTGCAAACAGTATATACTTATATTATTACCAGAACTTGACTAATTTCAATCTTTTCAAATGGGTTTTCAATAAATTTGCCTAGTAAATAGAAAGAATATGGTGGTTTGTTACCTCAGCCTTGGAAACTTCAAGATTCATCACCCTTATTGCACTGCAATCTCCTGAACCGAGGTCGGGTATAAGTTCAGCAAGAACTGCCGGAGAGGCAGGCCTGACCAGTAAATCGTCACTGATTAAGAATTCTATTCTCCCAGTCAGAAAGGCCGCACCCTGATAACTTGAGGAACTCGAATCAGCTGACTGCTTCACGTTTGCGGTCACCCCCTTTGCACATAAGCACCTAACATTTCTGTGCGTGCTATAATACGGACAGCCCGTGTTGTTACAGGCGTAAGTGAATTCAGAGCCAGAATCATCGATGTTAATCTTCAACTTCTTGCAGTATTGGGCAAGGGGATTTCTTGGATTGAGAAGCATGTTCTTACAGTGCTCTGTGTGCCAGTACTCGCTGCTTAGGTTTTGGATACCTTCGTATAGCTTGTTCATGCACCCTATTGTTACAGCAGCGGTGGGTTCATCCTTTGCAGAGGAGATGAGTCTGACAATGGTTCCCATCGGGAAGGTGAGAAAGCTGAAAAGTATGTCAACGAAGTCCTTGTTCGCTTCCGCAGCCAGTACTCGATTACTCTTCTCATCTATCGACAGCTTCAGGGGTACTACTACCGGCTCTTTCTTTACCGCCGCCATGACTCCACGGTTACTGCAAAAGAAAATAGCGTTGATCACCTGATCGGCCTTTGGTTTTAAAATCTTGATCCACTTCCACGTTTATTTAAAGCACAGACGCGAGAAGCTGAAAGGCCTTTCATTTTAAAAACTTGCATCGTATATCTAAAACTCATTTATTTACCTCTGTTCCCGGGCCTCGTAATTTGATCGCAATGAAAAGGAATTTAGGATATGTTTGTTTGGCTCAATAGACTTGAGGGTCGAGTTTGGAAAACGAGGTTTCAGCAAAAAAATGAAAGTATGGTCCCTTTTCATAATAAGTGAAAGAAAGCTTTTGTTTGGTAAATGACTATTCAGCCATAGTGTTTTTAAACGGAACAATTGAAATGAAAATGTCATAAATAGTAGTGTTTATCAAATATCTTTTGGAAACCTGCAAACTTTTTCCACTAATCAAATCCGATAACTGAATCTGATACTGACAACTCGTTAATATAATCTGTTATCCATTAAATGTAAGGGAAAAATACCTCAATATGAGTAAAACCTATGACTTTTTCTGAAATATGACCAGAATAGATTTTGTATGCATCGTGTGACCAAAATTAATATGACATACATATGCGCACGTTTGAATAAGAATAAAACCCCAAAATGCCCTTTCAAATAATTAATACAAACACTTGAAATAATTTGAGAAACACATGTCGTAGCATAGGACGTTTATTGCCTAGGAAGAATAATTTGATAGTAAAGGCAATAAATCTGCCATAGGAAGATTATTCAATAAAATGAGACGTTTATTGAAAAATTCTACGTTTATTGTAGCAAACGTAAAGGCAAAACATAATACGGAGCAAAAGTTAATGCCAACAGGAAGATAGTAAATATATCAATTAAATCAACAGAAAAAGTGAGGTAGTAAATCTACCAATTAAATCAGTATTAGAGAAAATGAAAACAATTTTATAGATATGTTACTGCCCAATTGATACATAAAGGATAACACATTTGACAATTAAATGAATATATTACCAAAAGTTAATCACTAAGGGCATCCTCATTGATAGGATTATTACGAGATTAAATAAGTGACGTGGCAGATTTTTTAGAGTAGCATCATTGAGTAGCATATATTGTTTAATGAGATTATTTGCTACAATAATCTGGGATCAAAATATGAATCCGAATTATTTTAAAATTATTAAAAAAGTACATGTAATAGAAGTTAATGCTGGACCAAAAAAATCAGGTTATTTAAAGATGATGGTTGGGAGACATAAACGAATTTTGAGATTATTTAAAAATTAATTATATAACAATATTTAAAAGGTAAGAATCATAGAAAAAAATAATAATTAGAGATCATGAATGAGGATGCTCTAAAAGCACTTTCAGTACCATAGAAATTAGACGTGTGTACTTTTACTACCCATATATAGCACAGTAAAATTATATCACATAATGAATATAGACATGTTTCCATAATTTTATTGCCCTAGTTTTCCTTATTTATCATCTGCCGTAATTGGTTTTTGAGATTCAAAATAATGGAAATAACACCTTTTGTTTGTCCATTCCTTCTTTTTAGGAGAATTTCATTGAAATACACACCGGTTACTAACTCTAAACGGTTATCACGTATTAAGCCATGACATGTACTTGGCCGGTCCTTAATTTTAGGAGGAAATTACAGCTCATTAATTAAATGAAAAGAGGGCATTCCTGGGATTAAAATTAAGAAAAACAACACGTGTATGATCATGAGTATGTGCGGATAACATTCTAGGAATAAAACTTTATGTAGTCATATATCACGAAAGAGATACTCTTTTAGTCATAGAAGAGGTAATTTTCTCTAAATGTAAAACATGTCCAACATCAAAATAGCTCCAAATAAGAAGGTACTCTATAAAGTCACTCAGAAAGTATCTCACAAACTACACTCGGTAGCACTACCAATAGTGTAATGTTTACACACTTTCAGTCCTTTTGATGTTGTATATATATATATATTTGAAGTTAATTCTATATTTGGCTCTAATAGAAGTATATGAATTCAAACGAAGAAATTTGATATATGCTCCTATTGATAAACCGAGATATAGGAAAAACAGAAGGTACTGGACTGCTCAAGATCACATACATACAAGAATGCAAGATACATTGAAATGAACTTAAGTTTCATGCATATCAAGATCGATCAAGCTTATAAGATTTCACGAGATTAACCAGCACTATGCCTTATGCATCTGCAAGAAGCGGCTAAGCCATTTGTCAGAGCTCCTGATGGAGATGTAAGTGCCGCCTTCAAAAGGGTCAATGCCTGCAACTATATGCAACAATAGCTAACATAACAAAATTACTTAGATACTATTCCTTTCATGAGTTCATCCGATCCACTAAATTTATTTCATTCCATATTTGATAAAGTTTGTATGATTATAAATCATTCTTATTTAATTAATTCAATATAAACCACATAAGTTTATTTTTCTTAATAATCATGTCACCTCCTTATTTCCAATTAATGTTAGTAGAACCGAGGCACTATCATTTTCTTTGTAAAGGAGGGCAAATCTATGACTAAAGTAACATGCATTTACAAAAAAAGGAAATTCTATTTATACATCTTGTCATATACACCTTTTGCATACCACTTATTTTTGCATGTATGCATAGGCAGCTCGTACACAAACATAAATAGGGGATACAGTGTACAAAAGGTATACCGAAGTACGGTTGTTAAAAAATATGACCTCTTCGGTATGATGACTATTGAGTAATTTAATCATAATAACTTATATTCAATTTTTATATCTAAGTGAGGTTGACAATATACGCATACTAACTTTAACTCTGGTCAAACTTTTCTAAATATACTCTGAATAAGTTTTATTTGAATAACATTTAAAAAAACTTCTTTAAAATTGAAAATAAATTAAATACCTTAACTTTATGTAAAAAGTTATCTTAGTATGTTGATCATACGTTTCTCTATTACAAATGCAATTTTTTTCGAGAAGTGCATAAATTGAAATAATCTAAACTTCTATTAGGATGCAGTAAACACTCTCCGAAAATCTATGTAGTTGCAACACTTTTAATTTGAAAATTGCCAACAAGGTAATTAACCATTAGTAAAAACTAAAATAAAAATAAATAAATTTCAAACTGAGATAAATTTATCATCTATGTATATAGAACAGTTCTTTAGTATAGCAATAAATAAAAAAGAAGTCAAAATGGAGTTTGTAACTTGTGTAAAAATCAAAGTAGAGCTCAGATAATGTAAAAATAAAAAGTTTTTCAACTATTAAAGAATAGAGAAATTAAATATGAATATATTTTAATTAGGTAATCTCGATGCATGGCATCACTCATAGTTTTTCTTTGCTTTAATAATGTGAAAGTAGTTTGAGTTTTACTTGGACTTTTGCTACACCGTACACATACTAATTTAATTTCTTTTTGGTCATTAAAGTACTAAATATTTTCTGTAAAATATATATTATAAAATGTGTCTTAGATTAATATTTTAAAAGATGTCTTTTTTATAAATTTTACTAATAGTCAATTAAATATATTAATGGTGAAAGTCGTTTGTAAGTAAACATTAAAATAAATTAATAAAAGTGTTGAAGTGTTGTTATTAAATTTGGAACTCTTGTTATTAAAATAGTCAATATATTTCCTTTTTGTTATTATTATAATGGCAATGTTGTTTATTTGACATTGACCAAAAAGTTAAATGTAACATAACTAAGATTTAGGTGAGGGAATGGAAATATTACCCGAAATAGGACTAAAAAATGACAGTAATGTCATTATAAAAAGATTTAGGTGAGGAAAATTCCAATTTGGAATTAAAAAATGACAGTCCTATTTTAGATATTTCTAACTATTTTAGTCCTATTTCGGGAACTTTCCCTGCAAAAAATACCTCTTCGATGCTAACCGTGAGTGCCTCCTGCTCAATCTCAGTGATGGGGACTTTGAGTTCCTTCAGAATGCTAAAGCTTGATGCAGAAGACAGAGGCCTCACTTTCAAGTCATCTAAAATTATGAACTTTAAGGGTTCTTTGGAGAAGCTATTACTAAGCCTGGGGTCAATCAGACTTTCCCGGGGACATTCTTCCTCCAAATTTAGAGGCTGTTTCATACAGTTATGGTGCTTTGCAACTTTGGGGCAGATTAAGGTCGCCTTCCGGTTATCTGAATTAAACCATTTAACATCCAACTCGACCACACTTTTGTACAAGTCATCCATGCAGCCTAACCCAGAATTCCCCTTCAAAAGAAAAAGCATTGATCCCATAGGCATGGTCATAAAAGTGCACAGGAAATCAAAGAAGTCCGTAGTGGCTTCTGCAAACAATATCTCGTTTGTAGACTTGTTCAACGTCAAATTCAGATTCAACTTCTGACCATTTCCCTCTGGTTTCTGGATTTTCGAATGTACGCTAAAAGCTCCTACATTTGGTCTTACGGGAGAGTCAAGAAACACATCGGATAAAGGAGAATTTGAAACCATTGAGGATGCAAGTAGGCGGATCACCTGCAAACATAACATGATGTGAAAATCTGTGAACCCCTATGAAAAATGAGGACACAAGTATTAAAAAAAGAAAATGACCAACTGATTGGAAAATGAATGACGTGATGATCCAGACACAGCGTCAAATCGTGAGGAAAGGTTTGTCTTCGTACGCTAGATATCTCTAAAACAACTAAACATTATACTAAGATCTTGCGTTATTCCTCTTATCAGGCTAACTTTACTAAAACCAGGGATCTTAACAAAATCATATCAGATTTCTAACAAATGGGGTATCTAGCATATCTAATTTACGCTATACTTCAATTACACATGTCTCAAATAGCATATCTACTGTATATTAAACTCCAGCAACAGCAATATTGTGATGGCGTGCGGTACAGCAACAGCATGGAGCCCCAATACAGGTGAGATTCTGATTTACAGAAAACTCCAACACCTAACCGCAACACAAACCGCAACGAGGCCAAACCGCAATACGCATCGCAGCGCCACATAGCCACAAATAGTAAAACTAATTGAATGGAAGATTTAAGTTTATAGTCCCTTAATTTGGGACGGAGGAAGTACTCCTTCCCTCCCATTGTACTTTGTAAACTTTCCCTTGTGGGTGGCCCAAAACACTTTTACCCTTTCCTATTAAAACAACTAATTTGGTTCTGATCGATTCTCTCTCCTCTTCACAAATTGCAAACACACATTTTTTACTATTCTTATTTCTCAACTACTTTGCACTTGGAGAAGGTAGTTTATAAAGAACACGAAGGTAGTTTATAAAGAAAAATGTGTGGTTTACACCTTTTGTGTACACACGTCTGTACCCACCAAACGAGTTGTCTATCCACAAAGGTGTACAAAAAAGTGTACACCAATAAAAGTTGGTTTATAAAACAGACAGGACTATTTGCTCCAAAAAAAAAAAACAGAGAGGACTATTGGAAGTAACGGAGATGTTAGTTGTGATACCTGCTGCTTAGTAACATGCACAGGCATCTCCTTGATTAGGTTGATTTCGCTGGAACCAAGTCCGGATAGAACCTGAGCAAGAACGGTTGGAGAAGAAGGTCTGATTTGTAAATTGTCAGTATAATGAACATCATCATCCCCCACTTGAGAAACGCACCCTCAGGCTCAGGATCTGTCGAAGATAAGAAAAGCAATAATGGTCTGCGAACACGGTTGTGTATGTTATTGGTCCTGTATCCAAGGCCACACTTGCACGCAACATCATCGTATTTGCTTCTACACGTGTTACGGCTACAAATGTACGTCACCTCGGACCCAGAATCGTCAACATTGATCTTCAGGTTCTTGTAGGAGTCAGTCACCGCATTTCTCGGACTCAACACCATGGTCCTGCAGTGTTTCGTCTTCCAGTTTTCTGGGCTGAGGTTTTCAAAAGCATGGTACAACTTGGTCATGCACCCAACATTCACAGGTCCTGTTTTTCCGATATCTGTTTTGCTGGTGAGCCTGATTATGGTTCCCATGGGGATGGCGAGGAAGCTGAGGAGTATATCCACGAAGTCCGAGTTTGCTTCTGCTGCCAGGACTCGATTGTTCTTCTCGTCTATCAAAAGCTTCAAGCTAACAGGGGATTCTTGCTTCGTCTCCATATATGGTTATATTCAGGTTCAATACCTGGAGTTAATTAAGCTTAGCAGACGGTCTGTATCTATCGAGAAGATAAGAATTGTTATGCAACATATAGAGTCAAAGTTGGCATAGGGAATTACTGCGTATATGTATCCACTTTCCCGTACGAGCATCGAAAGGGCAGCAGAACTGGAAAGGCCTAAGCTTATTTATTATACGGCCAAGGTGCTAAGCTACAAAAACAAACAGGGGATTATCGGACATTCCGCAAATATGCCAAATCCGTGCTAATCTTGACGAAATCAACGGTTAATATGTGTCAAATTCATGATAATCCTGTATTTCTTGTAATGTCAATCCGAAATTTTGATTCAGGACATGTGACTAAGTGATATGGTTGGCTGTGACCAATGAACTTGAAGACCTCAATTTTAAATGTAACATCGAGGCCCCACTTTAAGATAAAAATTAAAAAAAAATCAATCCAAATATTTATATTCAAATCAAGTCAATATTGGTTAAAAAAGAACTAAAAGAGTCAAAGGACCAACGAAAAAATGATGAATCTATATTTTTCTTCCTTACTAACTGTATTTTACTGATTATAATTAATATATAATATTACTATATAATGCTATTTGTTTAAAATTTGGGAGCCCATAAATCTAGAGGTCTTGTTCTAGATAACCTATTTAACCACCTAAAAAACAGCCATGTACTACAACACCATCCTCCTTTGCAAGAGTCTCGTTTGCGGTGGTTTGAGCATGTGCGTAGAAGACCGAGTGATGCGTCTCTTAGACGACTTGAGGGATGAGGAGGGGAGACAGAGATGAGAGCGAGGGGAAGACCAACCAGACTTGGATTAGAGGATTCAAAACTGATATGTGTTTTCTTGGGTTGGATGAGACTATGGCTTGGAGAGAGTAAAATGAAGGATACACATTCGTGTGGAAGATTGATCTATTTTCTATCTTTTCTTTTATCGTTTATCTTCTTTATCTTTTTATGTTATTATTATGTTATTTTTATCTTCTAGTTTTTCATGCTCTTTTATCTTTTTATTTTTTATCTTTTTTATACTCCGTATTTATTTATCTTCTTCTTCTTCCTCATTTTCCTCCTCTTCTTCTTCCTTTTCATCTTCCTCTTCTTCTTGTTTGTACTAGATTTGCACCCGTGCGATACACGGGACAAAATTCGGCGTAATGATATCATATTTTTTGTTATATTAACAACAATATCAAATTTTCATTATATAATGTGTAAATGTGTGAATATAGAATATGATGCATTATATACTAAGGCTTATAATTACTAAGAATTGTGATAACCTACAATGTTTTGGAAGAAGATACATGTGTGAAAGTAAAAATGAAGTATTAAGAGCCCGTTTGATAATACCCAAAGCGATTGCATTTGATTGATTCTGCTGAAATTTTTGAAGTTATGACTAAGGATTGATCGATTCTGCTGATTTATTAAAGAAATTATATCTAAAATGTATTTTATTAATTAAATTAATTGAATAAAAAAATTATATTAAAAATAGCTAAAATGATCTTATACAATAACTTCAGTCAATACGTGCAAAAATGTAGCTCAACACTTACTTTTTCAGTTTATTATACAATTCAGTGCGTCAAATCAAAATTTAGGTGTTTGGTTTAAGAAATTGGATGATAAACCAAAATCATGGTCACCAAACATGCTTTAAATGCAATAAATATCGATTAGTACACACACAATATACATAGTATTTGAGATGTGCGAATGAGTATGCACAGAGAATCCAATGTTAATATATGCAAACTTCAAAGCCCAAGACAATAAATTGCCTTTTGATCAAAACTCAACCTCATTTTAGAACACGATTCACATCACTAAAATTGACTAAATATATTGACTCTATTGAAATTTATAAATTTTTGATTCAAGTGACTAAATTGGTTGTATCTACTAATTATGAAAAAAATATAATAATATCATATCCTTTGTTAGTAAAACAAAGAAAAGATTATATGAAAAAATAGGATTTATATTAATATCTGATGAGGCCACAGATTTTTTTTAACATTTTGATTAACACTTTATGTCCAAAAATGTACGTAATTATAAATAAATAGGTTTTTAATTATTGACATTATTTGAATATAATATACATACGCTACATAATTTATTAATATAAATGCAATAATTTTAGAATATAAAAAAAGATTTACAAAAAGGATGCTAATTGATAATTTTTTCAAAAAAAATCAGGACCATTTTAAATCTTGTAAAATACATAAGACATTTTTATTGCAGCCTAATATATAAGCCCATTACATTTCTGAAAACCCAGCCCAATATACACATTAATAGTTTATCATCTACCAATCCAAAACCCAATTACCCAAATTTATTACACCATATATTGCCCATGTACTTCAAATTTACTCCCTCTATTCTTATTTGATTTGCAAAATTTCTTATTTTGGTTGTCCCAAAATGATTTTACACTTTCTATTTTAGATATGTAAATAAGAATAAAGTGATAAATTTACCCTTACTTTTACTTTTTTTCCGTTAACTTGAAGACATCTACTTTTGGGAAGATGGGCAAAAGTGTAAAAAGCAAGCATCATTATTTACTGTCACTCCTTGATCTTGTGTCGGTCAAAGTTTGCAATTCAATTTGGAACGGAGGGAGTAGTAAACATGTATACAAAACCCTAAACTTCTTTAGTATAATCATATATAAGTTCCTTAAGCCCCATCGTCGCCATTCATATGTGCGTGATCTTCGTCTTGCAGGGAGACCTCGGTTAAACCAATCCTAACTCCGGCTACCACCAACCGTATACCCTCCAAACTTCGTACACCATCCATACTTCCACACCGGAGGGCTAACGGCGAGTCTGATGCTCTATCATCCTAACTTGGTTCACTGTTCTCTGTATCAAAAAAAGAGAGTTATCGGTAATATTCCAATGCTCTTTAACATTTAAATCTGGAACTCTTCTGATTTTCGGACTATTTATAGGCGTTGCATACGGCCAACGTATTTGAGCGCGTGCCGGCCTTACCGACCAATGATGGGTATACTTCGAACTCTATTTTTTCTATATTTTGGTAATTTAAACTCTATATGGGCTTGTTTTTTCGGAAATGTTTTTTCATATGATATGAAATCTCCCTGTTATTTATTTCACACTTGCCGTGGTGGGGAACAATTTTTTTTTACAAAAATCTGTTGGTTTGACGCAAATCAGATATTCTGAAAAAGGCTATTTGGCTGCTCATCAAAATACAAACTTCTTCTACACTCATTTGTAAAACTTCTAGGATTCATTATTTATAAACTGAAAAAAATACTCTTAAAGAGTTATTTATGTAATTGTGTTTGAAAACTATATTTATATAGATATTTTCATTGCATATATATATATATATACACACACACACACACACACGTATATATGTATATACATACATATGTCATATGGACTGTTTTCCTCTATGGACTTGCACACTGGACACACTACTAAGTATATAGATAGTACTATACATTTTACCCAATATATGTCCTTTTATATACACACTACAGTTACATACTTTAAACTCTTATTATTGATTAGTTTAATAATTAGTATCAACCAGTATATAATTTAACTATTTTCCAATGATATTTACAAACTTCTTTAAAAGTATATACTCCTATAATTGTTCAACTATGACTCCAAATAATTATTCAAATAAGTATTTTACACTTGATTGTAATTCATTCTGTGTTGGTCATCATATTTAATTGTAGTCCTATAATGGTCATCAACACTTGATTACATCATTCTGTGTTGGTCATAAATATACTCTTATATTTACACTTTTTTGAATTGTATACTCATAGTCAAATATTTGATCAAGCATGACTTGAATGTGTCCTGTACAATTTGTCTTCTAATTGAGCTGTTTATTTTGAAATCCTTTGTTATATGCGATTAACCAAAGCCATGATTGTGTCCAGTACACCTGTTTAACCAACACCTGCTTATAAGGCCAATAACAATATTAATGTGTTAAAATAAAATTATCTGAAATATTTAAGAACTCATATGTAATGAACAATATGTGTATATCAAACTGTGTTGTTATCTATTCTGTAATATGGAGTGTCAATGTTTATTAGAAATGTCTACGACACACACATACAAACATGAGTATATATTATTCTATGATATTTAATGATATATGCTCTCAAGTGTTCTCTGTTTTGTGATATGTTGGACATGAACATCAATTCATCTTAAAGGTGGCATCATGTTATAGTCTAATTTAAGAAAACACTACTAAAATTTGTAGTGTTTGATAATGAGTGCATCATGAACCCAATGGTTAATAACATGAACTAACTTGTAGCACACAACATTAATTTTGAAAGGACATCACAGAACTTATTTTTACCAACTTTTACACAACCTTTTGAAACAATCGAAAAAGCTAATTTTAAAGGACGGTCAAGTTACTAAGTTTTATATCTCAATAATTTCAACATTGAAA